CATGCAATGCCCACAGAGACCAGAAGAGGGCATCAGATCCCCTGGAACTTGAGTTATGGATGGTAGCCTCCATGTGGGTGCTGGGAACCGAACCTGGGACCTAATTAGTAAATCCTCCAAAGATTAGCTCCTATCTCGTCAATTACACATTTGTTTCTCTTGATTTCAAGAGCTTTGGGATCTTATTTTCTTAACGGCCACTCTCTTTAACCATCTGCTTTGCTCAGATTGAAAACTGATTTTTCATATTGGCTACTATGCTCTCATGAAATGCTACTTCCTCACTCAGAACTAACCCATTCTTTAAGACCCAGAGGAGTACCACCTCCAACCTAGGCTTATATATCAACCACTTTTCCATCCACAGCACAAATTGCTAGTTAACCAAGAAATTGTTCTAAGATTAGATACCAGATATGGCCTCTGAATGGGACCTAATACAAACTTCTGGGCAATTACTACCAATTAACTTGAGCAAAGAAGATGAAGCCTTCTGTTTTTCCAAAGTATTCTATTATTTTCTGTCCTTGTTAGTCAAAGTATCCCAGAATCTACTATCTGGTACCTAGTCCTTAGACTAAATGATAAGGTTCCCTGGGAGAAGGATAAGCTCCTAACAAGAACAGATTGTCTTATAGCTAAACAGAAAGTGTTGTGGCAGGTGTGTAGGTTTGCTACCCTCAAAGTTACTACTTCACTCTGTAGAAAGTCCCCCTGAGTTTTCATTTCTCACCTTTGTGAAGAATCCTAAAAATATTTCATGGTGTGACAGTTAGGACCTTAAATGTCCACCCTCCCCCCACCCCAGAATACATGAGTTCAAGGTTTGGTCCTGGATACAGACGGGACCTTTGAGGTGTGATTGGATCATGAGGGCTCTGACGTCATCAATGGATTAACACATTTATTCATCCATAACTTAATGGGGTATTAGAAGTTGCTGGAAATTTTAGGAGACCAGGAGTAGTTGGAGGAATCAGAACAGTGAAGGTATAACTTAAAGGCTATATTTTGCTCCTGATCTCTACCTGCTGTCTTTCTGCTTCCTGGTCACCATGAGGTAAACAACTTTCCTTCATCACATGCTCCCTATCATGATGCTCTGCCTCACCACAGGCCTAGAAACAGAGGAGCCAAGTCCGTGGGCTAAAATCTCTGGAACAGGAGCCAAAATGAATCTTTCCTCCTTTGTTTATTTTGTCATGTATGTTGTCACCAGGATAGAAAGTTAAGTAACACAAGGAGTAATTCCTGAGGTTTCCACAGAATGGCATAGAGTTAATTGTCATCTTTCAAGAGACAGGGAAAATAAGGACTGGGAATTTATATCAGCTTAAATGCAAAAGATCAAAAATCGTATTGTTTCCTATAAGGTGTCCTAGTTTGTCTCTCCATTGCTGTAACAAAATACTCTGACCAATACCAACTTGCAGAAGAAAGGGTTTATTTGTCTTACATCTCCCAGGTCATAGCTCATCAGGAAACCCAAGGTAGGAACTCAAGGCAGGAACCTGGAGGCAGGAGCTGGAGCACAGGCCATGGAGGAATGCTGCTTACTGGCTTGCTCCCCTGGCCCCTGCTCAGCCTGCTTTCTTATGCCACACAGGCCCACCTGCCCAGGGGTGGCACCACCCACAATGGACTGGGCCCTCCCACATCACTGAACAATCAAGAAGATGCCCCACAGACATAGCCACAGGCCAGTCCTACGGAGGCAATTCCCCAATTGAGGCTCCCTCAACCCAGGAGCGTCAAGTTAACACTAAAGCTATCTAGCACATAAGGGTAACGGTAGAGGGTACCAACATTTTACAACAGTGGTGTCATGCAAATAACAATTCCTATCTCAGTTTGAATTAACTTTTACAGGAGCTATTAATTTTAATCTAAAATAAAATCTTGACCTCAACTCTGTTTTATCCTTTTCATAACTTGACATGCAAAATACTAAGGGAGATGAGGGGGAGGCACAGAGGCTGTGATTAAGTCTGCTCCCTGCTTCCATTATCTTCTCACTTCTCATGAGCTCTAATTTAAACATCTTATTTATAGTGTAATGTTCTTAAGAGTTTTCTGGGTGTATTTAAATGGGGATAGTTAATTGGGACTGTTCTTGCAGAAATCAGCTTCAATCTCATCTTTCTAGGTGGTAGCTCTTCACTGCTCCTGAAAAATTATGTAATTTCATCTGCTTTGTTCTAATTTTCATGCTCACTGTTACTGTACTGAATATAGTGACCTAAGGCTATATGTGCTTAATAACTTTTACTTTTAATATTATTGCTATTATTTGCAATCTCCACATAAATGTGGTATCTAGTACATCCAACTAGTCTTGAAATGAAAAAAAAAATGTTTAACACAGGGTACAACTTAAAAATAGTATGTATTAATCCACGCATGCTGGTACACACTTTTAACCCCAGGGTGGCAGAGGCAAGTAGATCTGTGAGATATAGACCAGCCTGGTCTACGTACCAAGTTTTAGGCTAGCTGGAGCTACAGAAAGACCCAGTCTCAAACAAACAATAAACAAAAAGCAAACAAATAAACAAACGAAAGAAAAATAGTATTAATTAGAAACTAAAAAGTGAAAACTCAATGTTATCTTTTAAATATATATTCATTAAATAAGCTTAAAAAATCAATAGGAGCTCTTTTTCTCTTTTTTCCCTAATCTGGTTTGTCACTCACATTTAGAAAACCAGATCTAGGGAAAGAACTAGATCTGAGAACACATGCATGGTTTTACTACAGTGAATGTTTAGCCTGTTCTGATTATGACAAAATCAGTACAATGAAAATATTAGCAGACAAACTATTTTTCACCTCCACGAAAAGTTACTTTGTCCATTTACTCCTTTCCGAGTAGTAAAAGATCTAGGTAATAAATACAATTGTGTTACTCATCCACAGGAATAATACAACACAGGTATGTACTGCCATATGCAAGGAGCTGATTTACAGACCAGCTTCCCTTGTTCTCTCCATCCATCTTAGAGTGAGTTCTCCAGAAGCAGTGCCTGAAATGAGGCCATGAAGGAAGTGCTCCAGGAGAAACTGATAGAAGGATGAACAGGACAAAGAAATAGAAGAGGCCAATTGGGGCAGGATTTCAGGTGAGGTCACAACCTGTCCTGCTTGATCCATAAGGAGCTTTAAGTGACGGGTAGAGTTCATCCCTCCTGGGACAAAGGAGCTGAGCAATCATGCTCACCAGGCAATGGCCAGGAGAGCTACTGTGGAACTTAACTCTAAGCACTTCTACCTGTCATTGCCTCTGCAGAAAGCATCTCCAGTGGTCCAAGAAGACATTAGCAATGAAGCTTCAAGGTACTCGGGGGTACCTCGGCAGCTCCTTGCTGCTTCTCAAAGATGGTTTCGAAGGTGAAGCTGGTTAATCTTCATTGTCAACTTGACAGGACTTAAAAATCATTATAGAAACACACCTCTGAGTGTGTCTGTGAGAGTGTTTCCAGAAAGGTTTAAATGATGAAGAAGGACCTAACCCGAATGCAGGTGGCATGGTCCCATGCACTGGGGACCCAGACTGAATAAAGAGAAGAGCAAGTTCAGCACAGACATTCTCTCTCGTTTCTGACCAGCTCCCTCGCACTCCTGCTGCCTTACCTTCTCCACCACCGTGAACTGCATCCTTTCTTAAACTATACACCAAAATAGAAAACTAAGCCATCTTTCCTTATGTCATTTCGTCAGGCATTTTCCACAGCACTGCTCTGCCTCGTGATCCATGTCCCATCTCCTCCCCTACTTGTTTCTTTTCCTCCCTCCAGCAGTTTCCCCTTCTGCTTTCTAATCACATGTACCCCATTAGCTTCCCCATTTCCCACTCGAGATCTCGTCCTCTCCTCTCATGCCCCTTTTCAGTTGTATGAACTACACATATCCGAATGTAAATACAGACATGCGTAGACACACACGCATAATTTTTAAGTGTTTTTAAAATTATTCTATTTTTGTTTTGATTTTTATGCTTAGGAGTGTTTTTGTAAATAAAATTTCCATTTTTTTTTAATTTTCCTGGAAGATGTTTTTTCTTCTCTCCTTATGAAGTCAGGTCTCTACATGGGCTTCAGTGGAGGCCATGGGGCAGCGCCAGCAGATCTAAATCGTGGTGGGGGCGTTCGATCTTTCCAGGCTTCTGAGGATCAATTCTGGACTACCTTGCTGTGAATGGCACAGCTCACGCAGTAACGTGGCTTGACATAGAGCCTGGGAAGCGCGCCTCGAAGACACGTGATTCAGAAACGTCCTTGATGGTAGCGGCCTCAACTATACTCCGTCCAAATAATGAAATTCTTGATGGCCTTGTCCATAGCCACGCACCACACTGGCTGCAGTTGTTTTTGTTTTTGTTTTTAGGACATTTTATTGCTACCAGAAGCTTTTCTTACCTATACATGATTCTGACTGCAATGCCTTCTTCAGACTGCAAAGGGAGCCCAGAGTGTAGAGACACTGAGATAAATACAGGCAGGTTGGGAGGAGGGGCATTAGCTTGTTATCAAAGAAATCCTAATAGTTTAACATAAAACTAGGGTACTGAATTCAATTTCAAGTGCAGACTTAAAAATCATAGAGCTGTCCCAATGTCTAGACAGTTGCCCCTACTGATCATAAATGAAAACAGATTAGCAACAAAAATCTAATTAGATGTTACCATTTATGTTTCTTTGGTGAGCACCTGGATATATTAACTTTATCACAAATTCTTTTGTACAAATGTCAGAAATGCTTTCAACAGATATAAGTGGCTTAATAATTACATGCCATTTTTAAGCTTTAGGATAAACAAGAGAGAAAAGCGTCATTTTGTTTTAAAAATAAAACCTGAGACTAAGGAAACTTTTTCTATCAGCTCCGATTCCCATGGGATGACATTGTAAAGTATCATTTACAGACTAATAGGAACTTGAGGGATTTAAACATGGCTGCCACACAAAAATAATTTGCTTATTGAATTGCTAAAAAGTTTAATTTCAGGGTTACCTACTGACTGAAAATTAGGATATATAGATCAACATGTACAAACTTTATTTATCCAATGGAGAAGCAGAAAAAAAAGCAATAGAAACTAAATTAGGATATTGGGAACAAGGTTTTGCTATTTTGGAAATTTTCTCCTAAACACTGATTTTTTTTTTTTTTGACATGGAGCAAGCTATAATTTAACAGAGAAAAGAGTGGAGCTAACATAACACAGGAATTTAAAAAAAAATTTAAATATATTTTGGATCTTTGGAGTTTATAAACGTATGCCATTACATTAAATAATTGTGAGTTATAATTAGCTACACAAATAAGTGGTTTATTGTGTTTTCTTTTGTCCTGGCTCACTTCAGTCTGCTAAAGTGCATGCCCTTCTCTACAGTCTTCCCTGGTTTTCTATGTTCTCATTCTCAGTGAACCCTAGGGTGCACTGGAAGGTAACACTTGAAACTACATGACAGAAACAGGCTACAAAGGTATACACGGGGAAGCGTGCTCCTCCTGCCTTGACAGACCAGTGCCACATACAAAACCCATATTTTCTGAAGATATTTTCTATTTCTTCATTATAGTCATTTGATTCCATCACAAAAGTCATCCACTCCCATTTCTCCCACTTTGCATTAAGCAGAGGTATGCTTGCACCCACTGGCATCTGGGAGATGACGGTAGAAGGCTGTTGTTCCTCTGATTGGTGCTTCTGGCTCACTGTTGGCCTTGGAGAAATCTGGGTCTGAGACAGATGAGGGATGTAATTTGAATGCTCCTTTGTCGCAGGGTGGGTTTGAGGGGACAGAAGATAGAAACTTTATCCAGAGGCAGGGAAGACTGCAGAGCAGAGAGGTGGTACGCCACCAGCTCCCAACAGTGGGTCAACTGGGAGCTATCCACCTGTGCTTTCTGAAGCAGCTCAATTGTAAAAGAGGAAGCCAACCAGGAAGGAGTTTCTCTATTTCCAGACTAACCATGGTCAGGGCAAGCATGGATCCTTTACCAAATGCAGAAGTCACTGCAGGCCATGCAGTACAGCAGCTGTTTGGTTAGGACAGCCAGATGCTGGCCGGGCTCAGTTTGGAGAAACTGGAAAGTAAGGGAGGCCTAGGTTACACAGCAGTGGCATGGAAAATGTGAAGAAAATCCAGTGGTGTGGCCGTGTGAAGATCTGAATTCAACTTATCCAGAATAATTCTCTCCATTCTCAAAATTTCAGATGAGGAACATCCATAGAAACTGCCTCTTGCCAATATCTTTAGGACTGCAATTTTCTCAACTTCTTCAACAGTCCTGGCTCTATTAAAACAGCTGGTTGCAATACAATTCAAATATTTTGGGTGAGTCTTTACAGTAGCTAAAAACCTGTCCAAAAGACGGCTGGCCAGAGCAAATATTTCTGGGTAAAGGCTGAACTGGTACTCGAGTTTGGCCAACCATTGATTTACTTCATCTTTCTGGGACGGAGAAACATTCTGATTTGTATGTATGTCTCGGCACATTGACCTTCCTTCCACATGTGGGCTTCCTAAGAGATTGCCTTTTCCGGTAGGAAAGACAATCTGTTTTTTCCAAATGTCCTGGAAACTTCGTGATATACTTTGGATTTGCCTGACACCCAGTTCGATGTAGCTACCTTCCCTCCTCTTCCTTGTCCTCCTGAGGGAAAGCAGGGCACCGCACCGGCGAGCATGGCGACTGAAACACGAGGGATCAGTCAGCCAGCTAGTTCCAGGTTGAGCCTGGGCCCAGGCTGCTACCCTGCAGCTCCTGCCGGTGCTGGTGCCCTGGTGAGGAGGGGGGCTCCCTGTCGCCATAGGGTGGCGGGAGCTGGGGAGAGGCACAGGGTGAGGCCGGCTCTGCCTCTGCCCAGGGAAGCCTCTCCAAGGGGAAATGGTGGAAGGAGGGAGGAGGGAAAAAGAAAAGTAAAGGAAGGGGTACGGGGGACAGAATAAGCAAAACCAAAGCAGAGGCACTGGCTTGCCAGCTCGCTGGGAAGGCTGGGGAGGGAGGGGGCTTAGGAGTGTTTTGTCTGAGTGTATCTAAGCACACCATATGTGTGCAGTGTCCGTGGAGGCCAGAAGAGGGCATCGAATCTCCTACAACTGGAGCTATGGACAGTTGCTAGCTATCTTGTGGGTGCTGGGAACTAAACCTGGTTCCTCTGAAAGAACAAGTACTCTTCACCACTAAGCCATCTCACCAGCCCCTCCACCCCCCATATGTATAATCTTGAATTTAGATACAACATGTAAGGAAAGTGTTCAAGATTTGGCTTAATCTGATTTCTTTGACTAAGCATAATGATTTTTCAGTTCTATCCATTTTTTCCCATAGAAAGGTTATGATTTAAATTTCTTTACAGCTGCATAAAATTTCATGCTGTATATGTACCAAATTTTCTTTATCCAATCATCTGCTGATGAGCATCCTGGATATTTTAATCTGTACAGCAATGAACATGGATATGTATGTATCTCTGTGGTATGTGGCCTTAAAGTCCTTCAGGAATGGGATGAAATAGCTGGGTGCATGTAAATTCTAGTTTTAATTTATGAGAAAGCTTCTTATTGATTTTCATATTGGCTACATAAGTATACACTCCCACCAACAATAAGTTTTCCTTTCTCCACAACCTCTCACTGTCACTTGTTTTCTTGATGGTAGTCATTCTGATTGTGGTAAGTTGAAACCTCAATGTGCAGTTCCCTCATAGTTAAGGACTTTGAATGTTTTATCAGGTATTCATTGGCCATTTGTATTGGCTGCTTTCTGTGAAAACCAAAACAATACAGGTTTAAAATACAAATGT